GCTGCTAAAGCAGGGCTTTATCTCCATCCCCTCGCTCCTGGGTACGTGCGTTCCTCCGCACTTGACTCCTTGTCTCCGTTGTCCGTTTGGGATGTGCTCAGACAAGTGCTTGCTCTCGAGTTTGAGAGGGCTGAGAGAGGCTTGGCCAGTTCTACCTCACACAGCTGGGGTTAAGTCAAGCTGTAGTTACTCCAGGTTGGTTACAAGCTCTCATCTGACCATAGGCTCAGCCAGTGCTGATGCTCCATGAACCAGAGGCTCTTGGAGGCTCCCCCATTTGGCACCATATAGCCCAAAGCATCTCTTCCCAATGAAACTGAGCCCCTGATTTTACCAGGACTATTCCTTTAAGGTTTGCAGGCTCCAGCACTAGGAACATTCCCCTCTGCCATAAACCAGTTCAAGACGAGCCTGTCACTCCAGTTGGAGGAGACTGATGTTGCCTGCAGGTTTTGGGTGCATTAGTTCTGTCTTCCTTACTGAGTAATCTTCTGGGAGTTCTCATCGGTGTTTTTGCTATTTACTGTGTTAATTTATGGGTAAAGGAGAATATTGCTCTAAATAATTGGAATTTTCCTTGCAAGCTGTGTATTGCTTTAAAAAGATGAAAGCATAGCTGAGAGAAAGCTGGGGGTTTCTAGACTGGGGAGTTAACTGCACCCCTGTTGGTGCTCTCTAATGTGAGGCTGCATGGACCAGCAGGGCCACAGAATTGTTTTGCTCATTTAACCTTATAGTTTAGGAATTACCAGAAATACTGTAAGTCACATCTTGCAGCTAAGCTGTACTTCCTGAAGCCTGTTTCATGCTTCAGTTTCTGTCCAAATAACTTGCTTCTGAGAATCAGTTTAACTTTAAAACTCAAGAATGAACCCCAGAGTTCACCAAGTACACACTGCAAAACTAATCCTGCTGGGGATTTACTTAAGATTTCCCTAAGGAATGTTTTCCCCCTTTCTCTCCAGAGAAATAAATCCTTCCTGGGAGCACAAGGGCGAGCTGAGTGGACAGTCACATCTTGAATTCCTGTGAAGGTTTTATTTGCTTAAGGCAAAATCATTAAGTTCTTCTCTTGCCCATAACAAGCAGTCTACCTTAGCACGGCCACTACATGCGAGGGAGTGAGGGCTCACGGGTTTTTGGTGATTAATATGCTTTGGTTCAGAACTTAGAGCCTGATCCTGCCACTGGGGACTCAGACATGTGCTTAACTTACTGACACTTACTAAGTCCCGATGCATCAGCTGAGCTGCAGTAATCGACTGGGCGCACGCCTTTCCCTTGGCAAACACGAGGTAAGAGCCCCGGGGCTGAATCGCAGAAATAAATAGAGCTAACACGTTTTGCATCGTGTTTGGGGTTGGGTCGGAGACGTGCAGATGGCTGGTTACTGTGGCTCAGATGACGTGTGTCATAGTCACTGATGTGTGTGGAAGCCCCCAGTCCCATCCATCCCAGTGCAGTCACTGTACCCTGTTGGAGGGCAGGCAGGTCCCAGACGGGGCTGAGCTGGGCCCTGCTCATGCCGTGTGTCCATGTCTCTTTCAGAAGAAGGGTGTGAAGCGGAAAGCAGACACGACCACCCCCACCACCTCGGCCATCACCGCCAGCCGGAGCGAGTCGCCCACAGCCCTCGCGGACCCCAAGCAGGCCAAAATCATCGCGCGCCGGGAGAGCGGCGGCCGGCCCATCAAACCACCAAAGAAGGACCTTGAGGATGGGGAGGTGCCCCAGCACGCCGGGAAGAAGGGCAAACTCTCCGAGCACCTCAAGTACTGTGACAGCATTCTCAAGGAGATGCTCTCGAAGAAGCACGCAGCCTACGCATGGCCCTTTTACAAGCCTGTCGATGCGGAGGCCTTGGAATTACATGACTATCATGATATTATCAAACACCCCATGGATCTCAGTACTGTTAAAGTACGTCCACATTTACCACCTCTTTTGCAGGGTGTCACAGCCCTCTGGGTGCAGAGGACTGGCTGCTTCTGGGGGAGGGGGAAGGGACATCTTATTTTCTGCCCTGCAAAGCAGACCATACGATGGCATCTCTTCTTTGTGGATAGCCCAGCTGCTTAAACCTGTGTCCTTGGGATTGTGTTGCACTCTGAGAAGAAGAGGTGCTGTGTTTCATAGGATTCGATTGATAGTCTCCCGTTTCCAGAAACTGCTGCTGCCTACTTGTTGGCATGATGTGTGGTCCAGATAGGCTTACGCTGAGCAATTCCAACCGCAACGTGATGATCACCTGGTACTCGGGGAGGGGAGGAGATAACATGATGCTTGTGTGGTTCGCACTTGGCCTTTCGAGAGCTTAGCTTAGTGTGGCCCGATACGCAGGGTGTTTTTCCCGGTAGACTGGGAGGTTTTCTGGATCCCTCCTAAATACCCATGAAGCAAAGCCATGTTTTTGTAGTTCCCATCTTCTGCTTGTGGGCCATTGGAGTCGGTGTTGGTGGAGGTGAGACTCTTCCGCATGCAGGAGGTGAAGGTATTGCTGTTGGCTTTGGCTAGTGTGCCAGGAGTGTTGTGCTGCCAGCGGAGCCAATGCCTGGCGTTACCTAAATGCACAGGTGACAAAAGGGCAGCTGTGCTTGTGATTCCTTTCATGTTCCTTGGCAAATCCTACATAGAACCTGGAAGCAGTGTGTCATGTGCTGATGTACCATTGCCATTCAGCCATGATGCTGTGTGCGTTCTTACTATGGCTGTGTTACTTTTAAGAGTATTTTAGTTGCGTTACTTAATGGTGAGAGAATAGTCATGGTCTGTGCATTGAGGATTAGGCCAGGAGTTACCAGTGTCTTGAGTTCTAATTGCTGTTCTGGTGCTGTGGTCCTGGGCAAGTTTCCCCATAGTTCTGTGCCATAGTTTTCCCAGTCATAAAATGGAGATGATTCTTAACCTACCTCACAGGGCTGTTGTGAGGACAGATATCTGGAAGGCACTAAGTACTACTTACTGATGGGGTTTGTTCAGAAAAGACAATCGCTGAGCTGGCAAAAGCATTGTAAGCGAGCTCTGGTGGAGCTGAGGCCATTCTCCTCCTGAGCTCCTGGTGCACAATGTGTAGAATCCTTGACTTGCAATGTAGCTGTGTTAAAGGCCTGCAGCAGTTTCCTGGCAGGAGAAGAGGGCAAGACAAAGGGTGAGTTTTGCTTCAGGCAAGAAGAGGGAGCCTCAAACACAGTGCTAAAAGCAGGAGGAAGGGCTAGGCTGAACATGGTAGTCTGCGAAGCTGAAGCAGTGGGCCCTGGCTCTTATGTTCTGCTGATAGAGGAAGGTCCCAGTGTTTTCTTGGGTAAGTTTTTCTATTTTTCTTGCTCTTGAGCGTGGATGAGGAAGGGAGAAGCTCCCCTTAGTTTTGGTACTGCAGTGTGCTCGCCATCCTGCTCGTTTTGGATGCTCAGTACTGAAGGCCTTTTAATCCTTGTGCATTGCTTTAATTGATGACTTGCTGTCAAGGTCTCTCTTTACTTTGCATTGAGTTGCTGCTCTTCACCAGCTCAGAGGTCCATCCACATGGCTTGGATCACAGGCTGATGGATAATTGTGGCTGGTCAGGAGGCCTCCCTCCTGCTCAGAGCAGGGTCACTTACTCTGATCTGCTCCCTTCCAGGGCTCGCCACCTCCTCAGCTGTTTCCTTTCTGTAGCAGTAATTGGTGCAAAAGTTTTATATGTAGTAGTAATAGATGCCTAAAATCAGTGAAGTTCTAGGAATCATAGAACAGTTAGGGTTGGAAAGGACCTTAAGTTCATCTAGTTCCAACCCCCCTGCCATGAGCAGGGACACCACACACTGAACTATATAGAATGCTATAAACTGCTCCCTAAACCCCAGTCATTCAGTCCCAAACTGCAAGAGAAATGGACGAAAGCGAGAGCTGAAAAGCAGGAGAAAGGAACAAGGTGCAAATATTTGTCTCCTGATGTTTATCCTCGCTACACTGAGAAGTGACATTGTGAATGGGCTCCTAAAGGGTGAAGTCTGTATCCATTCTCTGTCAGCTGGACTTTAAAATCAAGAGTAGCTCCTGCAGTTGAACTGTAAATGCTAAACTTGCTGTAGGAATCACCAAGCAAAGTGCATGCCCTGTGTTAGCAGGAACTCGGAGTTGGATGGTTACAGTCTTTTCTGCCCTTGCAGATTTACAGGGTGAGTACACCCAAGCAGCGTGTAGAAAGATGCACTTAAGGTGCTCCTGCACTTGTAACTTGGTTGTTGACTCTTGCTCTTCCTGTCAGTGATCCTTGCTTATGTTAGTGTCTAACCCACAAACCCTTTTTCTGGATGACTCTCTTGTCTGATAGAAAGTAGGCCCTGACAGATGTGTACAGTGCTACTTAGAACAAGAAAACAACCTGAACTATACTGTTATGGAACAGTCTAAACTGTTCTGCAACAACATCAACTTCTGTTTGGTGTTTTCTTGTTTTAAAAAGCAGGAACTTTGAATATTATTTAGCAACCAACAAGCCAGCTCAAACTGCTGTTCTCTCAGACAAAAGTGATTTTGAGGGTGTTCTGAGCTGTCTCCAAGGTGCACATGTCCTCCATGCGGTTGTTACAAATGCCTTTTGCTTATGGCTTTTTCTCCCCTTTCCCTTTGGCTGTTTGTTTGCAGAAAAAAATGGACAGTCGGGAATACCAGGATGCACAGGGGTTTGCAGCAGACATTCGGTTAATGTTCTCTAATTGTTACAAGTACAATCCTCCAGACCACGAGGTGGTAGCGATGGCCAGGAAGCTCCAGGTAAAGGTGTTGGCAAATGCATCCTCCAGAGTATGTTTAGTTCAGCTGTAGGGTGTCAGTTCAGAGATCCAAGTGTGGATCTGCCCTTGGCACCAGCAAGGCAGGGTTGGTGATTCCTCCAGCCCTTGGAAAGAGCCACGTTCTCTGCTGCAGAACTGTTGTGCTTTTCATGTGGCATGGCCCAACACCATGTTCTGCTCCTAAATTGTCATAATTGTTGCTGTGTAAAGTACTAGGAGAATTTTCGTGGGCTTACAGAACATGTACACCCATCTGTACATTATTGTACTGCACCTTGTATCATGCAGTTAGACCCTGACCCATGGTGGGGTGCCTGGTGTGTTTAGAGGGCCAGAGGGGGAGGTCTTCATGGCTGGGGCTCCTTTTGTCACCAGTTTTCCCCCGTTTTGTAGGACGTCTTTGAGATGAGGTTTGCAAAGATGCCCGATGAGCCTGCAGAGGCCCCACCTCCCCCTCCCCCGGCAGCAGCAGTGGTGAGCAAAAGCACAGAGAGCAGCCACAGCAGCGAGGAGAGCATTTCCGCCTCGGAACGC